ATAGCCGATCGATAACCGATCGATCCCCACCGATTGTCCCCAGAGTACGAGAAGGCGCAGTCGTCGCAGGACGCCGTGTCCTCCATGAACCTCTTTGACCTGGGGGGGCAGTACCTGCGCGTGGGCAAGGCCGTCACCCCCCCCATGCCCCTGCTCACCCCCGCCACACCTGGGGGGCTCCCACCTGCGGCTGCCGTGGCTGCGGCTGCTGCCACCGCCAAGATCACGGCCCAGGTGAGACTGGGGGGGCCCAGGTGAGACCTGGGATAGCTCAGGTGAGACTGGGGGGGGTCAGGTGAGACACAGGTGAGACTGGGGGGGGCCTCAGGTGAGACTGGGGGGGGGTCAGGTGAGACCTGGGATAGCTCAGGTGAGACTGGGGGGGGTCAGGTGAGACTGGGGGGCCCAGGTGAGACACAGGTGAGACTGGGGGGCTCAGGTGAGGCACAGGTGAAACACAGGGATGGAACAGGAGAAGTTTTTTCAGGGTTTGTGTTTCCCTGCTGGGCTTGGTGACACCTTTACCTGCCCCAGCAGCACGGGGAGCTCCTGGGGGTGGGAACATCCAAATTTCCAGGTGTGGGACAGGTGAGCAGGGAGGCTCCTGAGGGTGGGAATATCCGAATTTCTCAGGTGTGGGACAGGTGAGCAGGGAGGCTCCTGGGGGTGGGAACATCCAAATTTCCAGGTGTGGGACAGGTGAGCAGGAAGGCTCCTGGGGGTGGGAATATCCGAATTTCTCAGGTGTGGGACAGGTGAGCAGGGAGGCTCCTGAGGGTGGGAATATCCGAATTTCCCAGGTGTGGGACAGGTGAGCAGGGAGCTCCTGGGCAGGACTCACCTGTTTCTCCCTGTGGCCCACAGGAAGCCGTGGCAGGAGCTGCAGTGCTGGGCACGCTGGCCACACCTGGGCTCGTGTCACCTGCCCTGACCCTGGCCCAGCCCCTGGGGGCTCTGCCCCAGGCTGTGATGGCTGCACAGGCCCCCGGTGTCATCACAGGTGAGTCCTTCCAGTCACCTGTGTCCCTTCCTGCTGTCACCTGTGTGTGTCCCCTCCTGCTGTCACCTGTGTGTGTCCCTTGTCACCTGTGTGTGTCCCCTCTTGCTGTCACCTGTGCTCTGCCTCCTGCCATCCCTGTCCCTTTTCTCAGGTGACTCTCTGTACCTGGGCTCCTCTTGGAGCTGGAATCCTGCTCCTGGCCCTGCCTGGGAAAGAACTTGGAAGGATTTTTTTTCTTAGGGTTAAATTTTGGTGTCCCAAAGATGGGGCAGGCCGTGGGATC